AAAGCCCGTGTTGCACCGACTCTGGCGCAGCAGCCGCTCTCTCGCCTGACCTCTGATGTGTTCAATTACAGGTCGCCGAGGCCGAGCGTGGCGTTTTGATCGGCACGTCTAGAGAGACCTGTGGCGTAAATGACGATGCGAAATGTCAGGTACGTTGGCGTGTTAGCTGACGGAGCTGTCGCTTTTTATTTTTGGTTCAAAGAACAGAAAAAAAAAAATATACATTTGATCAAATTTGGCACAGAAATTCCTTCTGACAGTTGAAAGTACTAATTCTGTCGTTGTTCACTTTTCAGATCCGACGTCTGGGAGAGTGAGTGGACGAAATACATCGCTGTCGCCCAGGCACGGAGGCATGAACTGTCGGCACCAGGTCTGTTGAACTCCTACGTACTACTTTAGTCTTTAATTAGTAGGTTTTTTCCAAATTTGATTCGTAGCGTTGTCGGCCCTCAAATTTCAACAATAGTTTCTGTTCCACAAGGGGGCGCTGTGGCTGCAGGTTTTTGTTCCAGCCAAGCAGGCGCTCCCCTGATTGGCTAATTGGCAGCGGTAGGTTCGGGCTTCAATTAGAGAGGGCGTGTTTCAACAGGAGTCGTTTTCTTCCCTGAGGACGAACTTCTGATGAAACCGTCAGTGACCAAACCACTGACCCTGGACTTTGACCCAGCGGCTAAAGCTAGCTTTGAGATGACAGCGCTAACACTTAACCATGGCTGTCACTTTATTTTTCAAACAATATTTGAGTTCCCCCGGCACAGACAAGCTTATGGCGACTAAAGCAGTTAGCCTAGCATGTTAGTTTACAAGGGCTGGGCAAACTGTTCCACAAGAGGGCGCTGTTGCTGCAAGTTTTTGCTCCAAGCTGTGAAGAACTCACTGATTGACCCACTGATCTGAGTCTTCAGACAGTTGATTGGTCAATCAGTGACCTCGTCACAGGTTGAAACAAAACCCTGCAGCCACAGCGCCCCCTTGTGGAACAGTTTATCCACCCCTTGCCTGCTAACAGTAAACTAACATACTTGGCTAACTGACTTAGTTCCCAAGTTTGTCTGTGCCTGTGGGAAGTTAAATATTGTTTGGAAAAAACATTTATTTTGCAGCAAACACTTTAGTTTTAGCCGCTGGGTCAAAGTTCAGGGTCAGAGGTTTGACCACCGACAGTTTCATCAGGAGTTCGTCCTCAGGGAAGAAAACGACTCCAGATGAAACAGGTGCTCCTAATTGAAGCCCAAACATATCTCGGGGGGGTTGAGGGGGGGGCATGACAGCAGCAGCAGAATCAAAATCTGGAAATGACTTTTATTTAGGGGTAAAAACAACTTAGAGAGAAAAGAAAAGTAGAAGCAAAGGTTTGGTCGTGAGTCCAGGATGCTGAGTCACTGCTTTTTGTTTGGGCCACGCCCCGTGGGTTGGCGTAGGCCCTGAACTCCTTTCCCTCTTCTACCTTCCTGTACATGTGCTGAACGAGCAGGGAAAGTCAGTGTCGCCCCCTGTTGTACAAAAAAATATTCTATTCAAGAGTTTCTCCTCGCCGTCGTCAGTAGTGGGCGCTGTGTGTTCACAGCACTGTTTGTTTGGCTCGTCCACAACGTTTGTCTGTCCACTTGTCACTTTGTCGTCCAGTCCATTTACCGGCTGCTTCTTTTCCGTTTCATCCACTTGTAGGCGGAGTCCCAGCGGCGGTGGCGCTGTGGTCGTTGGCGACGTGCTGAGTGGAAGACGGAGCTGCGTCGCTCCCCGTCTCAGTCTCTCGCACCTCCCCCTGTGAAGGGTCTCCTCCCAGGGGGCGCCGGTCCTGTCAGAGCCTCTCGATGTCCCTGTATTTCTTGCGTAGGATGGAAACCTGGTCCTTGAACAGGACCGGGTCCAGTCTCATCTGGGAGTGGACCAGCGGCATGGCGCCAAACCAGCTGGCGAACTTGTTCATGCAGGTCTGTCGCTGGGCGAAGTGGTCCGGGTCGGCCCACCGAGAGGCCCGAGAAGACTGCAGGAAGAGGAAGAGGAGAAGAAGATTGGATCAGTCGACAGGGTCACGTGATGGTTCACCACGTGGGCTGCGGACTTCGGACTTCTTACCTGACCCATCATCGTCTCCTTGTACTGTTTCTTCTGCGTGACCTTGATGGGCGGCAGCTTGGTGACAGCGGAGACCAGGAAGTTCATGAGGATGTCCTCACAGTTGGCCAGCTGGTCCACCATGTTCTTCAGACTGCTGGGCAGGAAGTGGGTGTAGAGGTGATGGTAGTACCTGCAGGGGGAGACAAACCAGAGGTCAGAGGTGGAAGAAGAACCTGGGACTTGTTTTTTTCTTTTCACTTGTGTCTTTTCTCTGTCATCCAGGTCGTCATGACGACGTCAAGAGTGGGTTTAAAGTTGGCGACTGGACCTCGAGTTGAAGACGTTTCTCCTCATCATCATCGGTTCTACCGTCCTGGGGGTGGAGTTTCCAGGTATTTATCCACCCCCCAGAGTCGTTGGCCCCCCCACCGTGGATGGGTCCCCCCCCCCCCCCACGTGTG